ATGATTTAACATTGATCCTCTTTTATTTTAAAAATGACATATCTATATCAGACATGTGCGTTATATTGCTTCAAAGTTTATGTTACGTTTATCTGGGTGAATTGGGGACTGCGATACTTGGACTGATAGGTGCCGCATTTTTCTCCGATTTGGAACCATGGACGTTTTTCTTATGGTGGATTTTCACAGCCAGCTTTGGAATATGGTTCCTAGCCGAGCTGGTAGAAATAACTTATGTGCCTACGGATAGACTGAGGTGCTGTAGCTGGTATTCCATAGCTGGAGCTTTTATTTTTCTTATGAGTGGGTCTTGTGAAATATGCTATAACTATTTGTTCTTCACGCCAGGACCAAGCATCTTTCAAGTAAGTATGAAGTAATCAATAAATGACCAAATATGTATTTCCATCATAATTACTAAAACTTACTTTCCTTAAGGAACTATAATAAATATATTTCTTTCTTTTTCAACATATGAGCTATTTAGTGCTATAATTAGAAGATGATCTGACTACGGATTACATTTTTTTTAGAGTTTTTGAATATTGGTAGGCCAATAGTATTTTGAATGTATGAAAAATCTTTTCATCATCAATCAAATGTAAATGATCTAATCAATCAACTCAAAGTGGATATGATTATTACTTCTACCTTCTACGAAATTACAAATATTGTTTTCAAAATTTAAAAATTGTTTTCAAGAGTGTAAGTTTGTGCTCTTCTCTTTTTGCTCGTAAAACTGATATATTATCATACAAAGTTAAATGACTCATTTGTATATTTTTCTATTCCAAAGTTTTTGAGTGGATTTATTCCTGGTAGCTATAGATCAACCAAAAGAATTGGCACATATAATACGCTTTATAATTTGTCTATTTAATAATAGACAACCTATTATTGGATTTTATTTATTTCAAAATCATTCTACCGTTGGATTTTGTGTGAGAAGGGCGTGGGTTTTAAGTCTATTAATAACATGCACATTATTTATCATTGAATATTTCACTAACAAATGAATTTTCAATCTAAATAATTAATTTAATTAGAAGGTTCCTATAATATCTAGTTTATATTTCAATAATTTAATAATATTGAGAAATATGCTTTCGATTATTATCCCCTTTTTTTTCCTAACTCGAAGTTCGATGACATGATCACACAAAAGTTTTCCTCCAGTTTTAATATTTTATCTAAGCGCAATATAATATTGGTTTGCATTCTGTAATGTATATTAAATATAAATTTCTTTACGTAGGGATTTTGTAGTTTGATAATGTCTGTGCTACTCGTTCTGGAATTTTTCATATGTGGAGATGCTATGGAATTTTTAACAAAGAAGAAAGAATGTTACAAATCTATAAAGAAGATGTGTGAGTATACGATGAATATTTTATGAGTAATATTTACAAGCATTCAATAGAAAATATCAATAATAATTGAAACAACTTTGTATTTCAAAACACATTAAAAATTAAGAGTAAATTATATTCGTTTGATTTCAATAATTATGTAGTTTCTAATATTTTAAATTAAATATGCAATTTATATTGCATGATTAATAATATTTAAATTCATCATTATTATGATATAATAGTGCCAATTATTTCATGTATTTTTGCGAAGAACTAGTAACTTCTTATTTAGAATTTTTATTCTGAGCTTTGGAAAACTAGTAACTACCTATCATTTGAAAATATGTAGTTAATATACTAATTTTAATAAAATAGTTAGGTATTTTGTAAAATATATAAAATCTTATTGGTTTTAAAAATAAAATTTTACCAATTATACTGGTTTACTGAATCTTTTCTAGACATGTAAAACTTCTGACGCTTTATACGATTTTTTCTTTTCCAGATCCTTGCTCTCGTTTAATTCCATGTATTTGCGACAAAATTTTCTGTGCTCAAGACCCAGTAAGTGGACAAGAAGATTGTGTTTACATTCCGTAATTTAATTTACTTAAAATTTGTTAATAATTATCATAAACCTACCATGATATTCTAAAACACTGCCTTGCTTTTGTTACTTTGTTGCAAGAACTGTGATCAACTTGAAATAAGAAATTTGAGTATCCGATGCCATTTTTTTTTAATAGTTGAACAGCTAATAATATTTGACATTTTTAATATTACTGTATATAATCATTAAATTACTAGAATCAACCGATAATTCAATTTACGTTGTTTTTGAATTTAGCTGATGTTACATGACATCACCAATGTCATGTTGCAATCAAGCATTTCTCAATTATATTTAGTCTTATCAAATTCTTATAAATAATTATGTAATAAATAATTATATTAATATGTTATGAGTCATTTATGTTTTACTGCAAATTTTGTATACTTTCGTACAAAATCAATTTAAATTTTCTACTTACTTATCTTTTAATTGCTTCATTATGATTATTGTATTTCAAATTAATTTAGTATTTATCATTTAGTAAAAATTTGATCATACAAAAATGTAACAAAAAATTAAAGTTTATAATATAAATCCAAGGAAGTATAAGTAACTAATGTTTTGATAATTATCTCACATAAGATTCCCGTATACAGTTCGTTTAATCATGCATAGTTAAAATAAGTAAATCAGTAAGAAATTATTAAAATTTATATGAACATTATTTCATGATCAACCAAATACATTTAGTCACGTAGTTTCAAAAAATTAATGCAAAAATCTAGAATCTAAAGAGATAATTTAAATGATGTGTATGCAAGAATATTTAATAGTGGTGAGAAAACTTAATCCAACTTATAATTTGCTATAGTTTAATCCTCAATGTATGTTTAGCTACACTTTGTCATAGTTAGAAGATGATCTGAATATGGTTTGCACTTCTTTTACAATTTTTAAGCATCTGGATCCTAATATGTATTTATCAGATGTAATTTTTTTGACTAATCAGGTGACTAATTCTTTATGTTCATTACCTCTAGCTTTTATAAAATTGCAAAGTTTGTTTAGTTCCTGGTTCAAACATGGCTTATAATTCAAAAACATTGGCAAACATAATTTATAATATCAGTGTGTAAGTGGACTAATTTTTTCTACCTACTAGGTAGGAACGGCGCACAAAGGTCCAATTTGAATTTTAGTAATTATACTGTTTAACCAAAATGACAATTATCGAATAATACTTATCAAAATTTATAGTTAATTCCTAATTATAAAAAAATAATAATATAAATATAAATATATATATAAAATATGTAATCTTTATCATTTTACCCCATAGGCAAGGTGAGAGAGAAACCAGGGGGCAATCAGATAAAATATCCTATTCTTAATTTTAATAGAATTGTTTAAAATCACAGCTACATTATTAAAGCAATGCGAAATACAAATATATACATTTTTCACAAAGATCAAGTTGCATATAACTTTGATCTGGTTTTGTCAGAAATATTCATCAAGTAATAATCCAATAGAATTGGAATGACTTTTAATTTAATTTATCACTTATAAAAAAAGCTTTTCTTAACATAATTTAAGCTTTTCTTAACATAATTTAAGCTTTTTTGTTTACTATGTGGTCATCTGAACTCTTTTGGCAAAGTAGTTTTGAAAAATTAATCTATTAATCTCGAATCTAATTGGAATCTAATTCGAATGATGTGAATGTAAATATTGATAATAGCCATATTGCCCATATTTGACGGCTGAAAGATTACTTAATCCAACTTATATTTAATTTTAGCCAATTAGTTTGACATAAGATATATTACATATAAAATTTGTACAACAATTGCGTACATTTGACACACATTCATAAGAAAGCATTTCAGGGATCATCTTTATTCCTGGGACTAGATGTGCCATAAAGCGCGATCGTAAGTCTGTCATATAATAATACGGAGCGGAGGCATTAAACTAAGGTAGGAATTTAATTTCCCAGAACATTATTGGTTTCTAGTACACGGCCATTTTGAAATAGCCTCGCCATATGTATATACATCATCCGAGTTGTATGTGTAGCGCCATGCCATATCCTTCCTGTTCTACACATAACAGGGCTTTCCAGTTAGGTTCCTATCCCAGATATGGGATCGATAATAGTGGAACGATCGCCCTAATAGTGAGGGATTTGCGATGCGGAAAATGGTATTTTAAATATCATTTTTATATAAAATGTATTATATCAAATATGTATAGTTGAAATTTTATTGAAAATATTTGAGTTTAGATGTATTATAGTAAATAATTGTTAATGGCTAATTGTATAATTAAAGGAAGTCGATGAAAAAATAAATAAAAAAATATAAAAATGTATTATATCAGTTTGATAAATAATGTAAAAAATGGCAAGTTCTCACCTAAAAACAAATTTGCATAACTAAATCCTGTGTCGCCTCTGCAATACAACTATTTCATTGAGAATGAGCAAATTAATTATAATTTTGTTAGAATTCAGTTCAAAGCTTTTTTATATCAATTTGTTTAAGAGTAAATTTTCTTATTGGTAATTGCTTCAAGATTAAGAATTTCATTAATTAAAATTGATTATTAATAATTTCATTAGTTAACGAGCAAGTGTCATAGTTAGAAGATGATCTGATTAGATATTATATATATATATATATATATATATATATATATATCTTAATATGTATGCATTTATCAAATGTAAATGCGTTCTGACTAATCAGACGACTTTAATACCTCATGTTTATTACTCCTAGCCTTTTATATAATAACTATGTTTGATTTGTTTCTGGAAACTAAATTGCCGAAAAAAATAGCACATCTTATATATAAAAATGGATCGCAAAATGTGTTGGTAAGCGCATAACTCAACAACGCCTGGACCAATTTGGCCAATTCTTTTTTTAAAATGTTTGTTTATGTCCAAGGATGGTTCTTACGGCGACAAAAAATTGAATAATCGTCGGGAAAACCCTAAAAACAGCCCTTTTCTAACTAATACAAATAATCGTAGTCGGCTTTTCGATATTATTTTTTTTGTTTTACATTTGGCAGGCGATAAAATTGGTATGGCTTTGAAGAATTTGACTTCAAGTCATATAAGATTAAAACAATCAATGCCAATGTCCATTTGCCGCCCTTGCCGGTGGCGTTTTTCTTGCATTTTCTGTTATACTCTACTGAGTGTGCTTTTGTTTTGTGCGATTGATTCAGTACATCCAAGCCATGGTGAATGTTTTTATTTACGACTGCGATTAGTCAATGTACGTGGCCAAACATCATTCCAACTGTTGATGGTGAATTGTGTGGATCCTACAGAGATCCGTCAACGTTTACAATTGCTAGAAAATGATGCTCATTGGGATCAAATTCTCAGTGATGCTGTAATATCTTCACATGCTCATAAAATACGAACATTGTTTTCTATAATCATATCCACAGGCTTTCCATCAAACCCAATTCATTTGTGGATCAAGTATAAAGATTACATGTGTGATGATATTTTGTGTCAAATACGGAATAGAATGGGAAATCCAAATATGCAAATCAGTAAAGAAATTTATAACGAAGCATTGATTTCAATTGAAAACATGTGCTCGATGATGTGAAACAAAGTATTAATTCACTTAGGACTGGCCGCGCCCAATTGTCCAATGCATGATGCTTTTAACCAAGAGTTGCATCGAGAAAAACTGTATTATCTCAACAATTTGAAAGAATTAATCGAAACAAATCTTCCACTGTTGAATGAACAACAGAGCTATGTATTTGATATTCTTATGAAAGTAACAAATGGTGGAACTGGGGGGATTTACTTCTTAGATGCGCCTGGTAGTACAGGAAAAACTTTTTTGATTTTATTAATATTAGGAACAATTCGCTCACAAAACAAAATTGCACTTGCACTCGCTTCATTGGGAATCGCAGCAACTTTAATCGAAGGTGGTCGAACAGCCCATTCAGCACTAAAATTGTCATTTAATATGCAAAGCAATGAAACTCCAACTTGCAACATTTCGAAGAACTCTGCAATGGCTAAGGTTTTGCAGCAATATCAATTGATTGTTTGGGATGAATGCACGATGGCACATACAAAATCTTTTGAGGCTTTAGGCAAAACCTTAAAAGATCAACAGAGCAATCAAAACCGATTTGGTAGATTTTTTTTGACAGGACGAAGTCTGTCGGGTCAGCTAGTACAATATAAAATTTATAATTCCACCGTGTAAATGCCTATGTTTGGATTAAATTTTTCTACCCCTGGGGTAGGACGTAGGACGTAGGATTTGCTGTTGATTCCTAATTATTGAAATATTTGGGGAAAAAAGACAATAAAGTGGCAAACAGATCAAATGTCCTATTTTGGAATCAAAAAGATTTTTTTAGCTACATTATTGAACTAATGCGAAATACAAATTTCATGGGCACATTTTTTACGAAGATCAAGCTCATCTTATTATATCTGGTATTTCGTCAGAAATATTGATAATATGTTGGAATAACTATTAATAAGATTTATCTCTTGTAAAAAAGCTTTTCTTAATAATATGATTATTATTCGAGTCAATGTCAACTTTAACTCGATTACAGTTTTCTGAAATTAATTCAGACATTTTCATCATTGATAAGTAAATATGATTTAGATTATATAATAAAAAAAATTAGTTTATATGGTGACCTGTTTTACAAATCTTTAGGAAAGGTCGGGGCATAAGAATCCAATTTGAGTTTAAATAATTATCTTGTCTAAACCTGATGAGTAATATTACAACACACAGAGTGTTCAAATAAACAATGATCGAACTATATTCAGTAAAATTCCCAGTTAATTGCTTATTATAGACATGTATTTTTCATAGTTTTTCTAAAATTTGTCATCTGTCTGTTTAATCCATAGGGTGGGTAAGAAGGTAAAATCCAAAATCTAAATTTTAAATTTAAAAAGACTTTACGAAATAATAGCTACACAAGGGCACATTTGGTGCAAAGATTATACTGTATTCATGCTGTTTACAAATAATATATACAATATAAATAATATAATAATTCATAATAATTCTGACAAAATACCAGATTATAATTTGAATTACTATTAACTTAATTCATCTCTCATATTAAAATTGTTTATTTTAACTTCATTTACTTTTTTATCTACTATTTTTTAACTGTTTTCTTCTTTGCCATGGTAAAGTTTTAGTTGGGCCTTTTTACTCTACACATATGCAAGCTTTTATAAAGGTTATGAAAAAATCTGTGGAATGTAACTTAAAAATAACAATACATCTTATAAAACAATGTGTTATGTATATTTAAAAATTATATTCAGGTATCATGAACTAAATTTAAGAGCTCAAAACCGAAAAATTATTGACAGAATAATATACTTTATCAAATGAATTTATGTTATTTATGTATTGTAAAAATTAAGATGATGGCTCATTACACATATTTTGCCTTCTACTTTAAAATAGTATCGTTACAAAATTCTTTATTTTGATTGGTTTTGAAACTAGTGGGTGCATGGCCTCGTGCCTTGAGGAAAATTGCTGGAACTTCCAGCACCAAAAACTAAATCATTAAAAAAAAACTTTGCTAAACTTTGAAAAAATTAGATTTTTAAATTTTATAAAAAAATAGACTATTATGAAAAAATTGTTTTTTTTTTAATATTTTGATTTTTTTGTATTTAATTTATTTCGAAAATTGTGAACATTTTTTAAAGCAATTGCGCTGCATAGCTGATTCATTCAGCAGATTACCGAATAATAAAATGCATATTACAGTAAACTTAGAATGGTATTGTGCTTAACAAGTATATTTTATCCGTCTTTTGATATTGTATTCTTTGTGATGTCTTCAAAGGTTATTTCAGAAAATATGAATCTCTAGTTTAGCAACTAATAGTATTTTTATTTTCTCAAAATTTCCATAACAAAAGTTGCTGATAAAGGTATAAAAGTCTGCATGTACAGCTCGGAGGCGTGCAGATACCATTCTAGAGTAAATTGTTTTAATGTTATTTATTACTGGTTACGGTTAGTATAATTTTAACTTGTATTTACTCAACGCCTAAAATTATTTAAATAAAGGAATGCTAAATAATTTGATGCATTTGAAAAAGATTCCAATTGTCATTGCGTTAATCCCGTCAGAAAACTCTTATTAGAGCAATGAGATTTTGATACCTATAAGAAAGTTCACATTGGATTCAAATACCGCTTTCCAATTGGAAGTTGATTAGCCCTGTTACAATTTCCACTACAACACGTTGAACGCATGCCTCGAGCAAGCACTCTACGTGAGTCCTGGGGATGGAGAAGCCCCTCGCTGGCTATGGATCAATAGAGGACGGAAGGAGGCGACATTTCGATACTTACACTATGGAAGTGGCCGAAAATGCATATTCAAATTATTTGGCTACAAATAGTGGTCACGTATATAGTAATGGTCACATTTAAACTAAATTGGAATCGTAAAGAATAGACAATGGTCTGTTACTAGATTTACCGTATCATAAAATCGAATTAGAATATGTAGGGTAAAACTAAGCTCAAAGGTGTGTGGGTAAAAAAGGTCCACTACAGATACCTCAAAAACAAATAAAGTTATGAAATTTTCAATAAAGGTTTTGAAAGTAGAATGAAAAAGATGTCTAACCGCGGTGGGTTGATTCTTACAAAGTCGCTTAAAGGGGTTCAAAGGTCCGCCGGTAAAAAAATCCACCACCGATATCTCAAAAAATAGTAAAGTTAGGAATTTTTGAAAGTTGAGGAAAAAATATGTAGAATCAATCATTGCCTTAAATCTTAAGACTCCGCTATCAGGAGATAAATGGCAATGTTTGAAAATCCATAACAAAATTATTTTTTTTCAGTGTTAGTGTCTTTAGTTGTGAGCACTGTTGTTTACTATACGAGACAATAGATAATTTGTAAGTATGCATTATTTAAATATTTCATAAGCAGTATTGTTATTTTTAAGTTATATTCAACAGTTTTTTAAATATAATCTTTATAATAGCTTAGATGTGAAAGGAGAAAAAGAACCAACTGAACCTTCACACTGGCAAAGGCGTAAAACAATGCAAAATACTAAATAAGAATGTAAATATATATATATCAAAAGTTATTTTATAAGAAATGAATTAAATTAGTGTTATTCCAACTACTTCCATATTTTAAAAAAATCCATATTTTAAATTATTAATAAATATACATGCAATATAAAATTTTGGAACATTTTGTAACAGATTTTGGTTGTATTATTTTTTATTTAGTAGATTATATTTCATATCCTATCAAGTATTCTACTAAGTCTGAATTATAATTTTAAATATAAAACTCTTCGATTAATTAAGTGATTTACCAAATAGATTATATAAATTCAATCTGACCATCATACATTCAATTTAAATATTAATTGATTATACTCATTTATTTCACATAGTTTTTGAACATGTTCTGATATTATGTTATTGAACTTAATTATCGCGAAGCAACATTTAATTACCAATTATTAATTTAATAAATAAAATGAAGTAAGTGCAAAGTAGGCAAATAGAAAAATGTTTGGGATAAGAAAAAATATTCTGAAGTATGAAGCAAATTTTTAAAAAAAGATTGAAAAAATAATTTACACATTTAATATAGAGAACAGTAAAAAAATATTTATACTATATGAAGTATGTATTTGACATTACTAAAATATCTGAAGAATTAGCAATTGGCTTTACTAAGATTTTATTATGATTATTACCTAACTAAAACTTGGTAAAATTATCTTAAGGTCATTAGTTTCCCATAAAAATCAGTAATGAAAATTTTTACATTAAAAAAAATAAATAAAAATAAAAAAAAAACACAGGTTTCTGAACATTTTGGCATACCTTGTAAAAATGCATGTATGTGTGTATGTAAGTGCGGATACGAATTTTGTTTCATTGGATGCATACGAATTTTGTTTCACTGGGTTAAAAAAAAAACATTTGAATCCTAACAATGCCGATTAGTTTTTTTTTCAAAGGTAGGACTAACAGTTTCGAAGATAAGGAGTAAAAAGTTGAAAAATTGGCAATACAGGTTTTAAGAGAACTGCGCGCCTAATTTGAATGAGACAAAAACACATTTTACTTTGGGGAAGGCAGGACAGCAGTTTCGGAGATCTAATAAAAAAAAATTAAAAATAATGCCCTTTGGCGGACAAAGATGATCATTTGGCATCAATCAATCAAATCGAAGATTGAATTATAAGATAGTTTATACAAATTTAATAAGTACAATATTTATTTCTATTTCTATAAAATCCGTACCTTGAACATAACTATATTCAAAAAAAAAATCTAGTATCTTAATTTTAAAAATCACCGATGAAATTGGATTGAAAAATCACACTTCATTAAAAAACATACATTATTTTGATTTATAATTACACTTAATTTCCTAAGAGTAAATTAAGGATCACAAATTTATTATTATTATTATTAAAATAAACTAATATTTGAAAAAATGTCAGCCTTATATATTGTATCTTTTATCTTCTACTTTAGGCAGACAAACAGCTTTAGGTAATTCGGCGATGAATAATTAAACGCCACAAAATCTTATTACTTTAGCAAATATGATATTAAAGAGAAAAAGGAATCACGTACAAATAAAAGTAAGTATTTCGCCTTTGATCTATCAGGCGGGTGTTTTAGAAAAATCTGTTTCGCCTACCAGCTCATTAATAAAACCGCCCTATAATTCGTTCGTCATATGTACGGGGGTGAATCCATCAATGGCATAGGCTGAGTTAGATTTCCGATGGGGAGAGCAAATGTTAGTGTTTTGATCTGGAAAGATTGATGATGAATTCGAGAATGTGTCGGTGATTTCAGCGCTACACCATTTTTTTCAGACTTTTTCCCTGATATAGGAGAGCGATGTTTTCTTGCGAGAATGATTTATGAAGATTGAATCCTTATTGGAAGCTTAATGTAGTATATATTTACATCTGGGTCAAAAGAAATTATTGAAAATATAGAAATTGTAATACTATAAATATATTCACAAATATTTCATGAAAATGCGTCATAAAAATATAAAATATCACAACGGAATAGGTGCGTAAAAAGTCGCCAAGAACCTCAGTGTCACTACACATACTCACAAAAGATACATAAAAAAGTTTTTGCAAATGTAAGCATTTCCGAACAAACTGTTTAGCCGGCGGAAATTCAAAGAAATTCATGCTTTTCACAAATTCTTGCTTTACGGAAATTGTCAATTATAAATCAAATAATTTTCAATAAAAAATATATACGAATTGATTAATTTGCAATAGTTACATTATAATAAAGAAGTAGATAAATAGTTCAAAATATTCATTCTGATAATCTAACAACTAATTAAAATAATTAATTGTGTACTCAATCAATCAATTAATTAATTAGATAATTAACTAATTAGTTTGGCAAAAATTAACAAACAAAAATTTACTTGCAAGTCAATAATATGTTTATAAAAGTGAACGAGTTAATTCAAGAATTATATTAAAAAAAAATACTGGTTTCAATTTTAAAATAGCAAACGTTTATAATTTAGATCCTAAATTTCTTATAGAAAAAAATAAATAGTTTAAAACAGTTAGTCAAATATTTTAATACTGATAATCAAATTAATTAAATAATTAGTCAATTAACTAAATAATTAACTAATGAATTTTTCAATTAACTAATTTGAGACAAATTAATAAGATAATAAACTAATACTTATTTTAATAGTTTTATAATAAATTAAATAATAGATAGGCAATCAGTTAGTTAAATAATTGACTAAAATAAATTAAATTAATAATAATTGATTGCATCAAGATTTTGGCTGCTATTAATGTATCAATACTAATTTCATATTTATTATTTTAAAAACCAAATTAAAGACCTATTTATTTGTTATAAGAGTAAATAGTTTGAAAACTGTATTTAATTACTTTAACAAATTAAATTGAAAATTAATCAAAAAATAATTAGTTAATAAACTAATTAATTTATTTATTTGATAAAAAATAAATAAACTCGCAGGCCGTTTATACAAATGTTTATACAAGTAAATGGTTAAGAAAAATAATAATTTAAGAATTTTATTATAGAAGTTAATATTGGTTCCAAATTTATTATCGTAAGATATCCAAATTATAAGCTTATTAATTTGATGTAGGTGTAAATAAATAGTTTGAAAGGTGTGATCAATTAATTTAACAAATTATACTGTAAATTAATATGTTAATTAGAAAATTAATTACTTAGTTTGATAATAAATAACAAAAAAAAATAACTCGCAGGTCGTACAAACAAATGTTTATAC